ATTATCATTATCATTATCATTATCATTATTATTATTGAGTTGCTTTCAGGGTACTGGCAAATTGAATGCACTTTTCCTAATCATTCGATGCACTGTGATTCTAAATTAATTTTCCAAAGTTGTTGTATAGGTTTCCTCGCCTGGAATATTACATTACTTTTAACTATAATCTTTTCCATCTTTTAGCGTATTTGTTAAGCTTTTCGCACCGGCGGGCTAGTGGTGTTTGTTCAGAGACTATTACCGTATTAAAGACGACACTGCATTGATTTCAATTTCATTACATTACATTCAATACATTACATCAGTTAACAAAGTTATTGACATATATAAGAAAAAGTAGTGGCCCCAGTACAGATCCTTGTGGAACTCCACAACTCATGATGTTTGTATAGATTTCAATATTCCAGTTTCGAATGCTCTTTGCTCAGCCTTAGTCTCGGTTGTGCTATTCAGCTATTCAACTAAAACCCGTGGCATGTTAATCAACTCGCATTATTATTCCTTCCATATTTGCTATGGACTGATCAGGTTTATTTTTTATGTAGTGTTTCATTTTCAACACAAGAATATAATTTATTCCTTATCTATAAATCGGTCYAAATGTTGCAGCCTGCGTAGTGACGTCATAACATCAATGTTTTACGTCAAAAACGTTATTTAAAAAATCTCAATCTCAAAGTCACCTCATACCAGAGGTTTTGACCAAAAACATTTTTTGGAAGAAAAGCTATGATGAAAATGCATTTTTGCCTCGAAAAAAATGATTGACTGAGGGAGTGATTTACTCTTTGTATATAAGTGATGCTCATTTCCAGAGGAATAAAARCTGTAATTCAAGTAGACGCAGTCTTCCTTAAGAACCTTTTGACTAARTAATGCTTTTAACCAAACGATTGCCAAAGCTGATACTTTATATCGAAATGAAAAGAACAAGAAAAAAAAGAACACACACAAAAAGAAAACAGAAAATATTTTCTTTCCCATCAACGTGAAGCCACTTGCGAGAACTGAATAAACGAGGCGTCTCTTTAGTCATATCGACACACRTATAATTGTCTCCAAATACCCCGGTGAAGTGCTTTTTCCTATACTAAAGTGATTTAAAGTGTTTAATCGAGATTTCAATAAAACTATCTTCCATGCGGAAGTTGATGTAAATGCACGACTGCTATTGAAAGCGTGCTTAAAGACGAATATTATTCTTGAAGCCCAGTACAAAATAATAAAAAAGATGATGCCCCAAAGAGGAAAAAAAGGTTTAAGGGCATAAAAAAAATGGGGGAAAAAGATGAAGAAAAAAAAACTCGCTAGGAATCAGACACAATTCTTCTTTTATGTGTTTGACATTTCATTCGTTATAAAAAATAAATAATAATAGTAGCTGAAGAGTGCTTTTCTTGTCAAAAATTTGACAATCATATTTCAGCACAATATTAGAAGTTTTACCTAGAAAATTTCCTCGTTTTTGATAAACGGCTTATATTTGACTTTTGAATTAATAATTATCAGTTTTAATCGCACTTCAAATTCTAGCAAAGTAAAGTCGTGCGTTTAATTAACGCACACACTCGTATTTTTTTGCGCAGTATTCATTATCCGACTGTATTTGTCTGTCAAGCAGGTGCTAAACTCGTCGTCTGAATAAAATACATTATGCTAACTTGGTTTTAACTTTTTTTAGATCATCAGATAAAGAGAGTGCCAATAATGGGGTTACCAATTGTCAGTTAACTACTCATTTTTCGGCCGAATGTCAGTTAATTGTAATGGTTTTACGAGCGCTGTCCATAATAGGTCATAATATAAACCAAAATAATGAAATATCAGATAACTGTTAACTACTGATTTTAGGTTATTTGTCAGGTAACCACTATTTTTTTAGCCAATTTTCAGTTAACTACTAACTTCATTGGCACCCTCGGTAAAGGCTGGAGCATAGGTAGATTATTCAAGGTTGTGTTGATTGGAAGTTGTTTTTCAGTTAAAAACGCCATGCTTCATATTAACCTCATTGGCATCCTCGTTAAAGGCTGGATTTTAGGTAGATTATTCAAGGTTGTGTTGATTGGAATTTGTTTTTCAGTTAAAAAGGCCATGCTTCATATTAACCTCATTGGCATCCTCGGTAAAGGCTGTAGTATAGGTAGATTATTCAAGGTTGTGTTGATTGGAAGTTGTTTTTCAGTTAAAAACGCCATGCTTCATATTAACCTCATTGGCATCCTCGGTAAAGGCTGGATTTTAGGTAGATTATTCAAGGTTGTGTTGATTGGAATTTGTTTTTCAGTTAAAAACGCCAAGCTTCATATTAACCTCATTGGCATCCTCGGTAAAGGCTGGATTTTAGGTAGATTATTCAAGGTTGTTTTGATTGGAATTTGTTTTTCGATTAAAATCCCGTGGTTATACACTTATTCAAAAATACATTGTCGGACGGAGATCTGAAATGTGCAGTCTGAGACAAAACGGAATTTTTGTGCTTTTATGATGTTTTCTGCCTAAAATACGAAAAATCAGGCACATTACCAGCTCGAAGGCCATGTTTCATATTCCAAAATAAAAGGAAACTGCGTTGTTCGGCTTAGATGATATATTTTATATGAGAATATATATAAACTATATATTTGTACTGCGGCCGCAATCTATCAATTTGAGCTGATCCTCGCAGTACATCAGGCAACTTATGCAGCTGCAAATTTGAACCCGTGCCCTGATAAGAATATATTACATTCTGCAGCTAATCAGTCTCATATTTCCGATCTCCAACCGACGTTTTTCTTTTTGAAATAGATGTTTTTCACACTATTATTTCATTATTATATTTTACATAATTATTCGCATTTGAGATTTTTCGCTTGTAATGTGAAATCTTYTTTACCAAAAAACAAATGCTCTATGTGTAATAGATTCGAAAGAGATTGGAATTAAACCACTCGATTTTAGTTTCCAGACAGCGATCTATCATCTTCTTGAAGCAAGCAATTGCTATATTTTTCAATTATTTATTTCCTGTATATTGCAATTTTAACCACAACTAAGAAAATTGTGGGCATTCAAGTGTGGCTCCCCGCACCTGTCGACGCAGTGTTCTTTTTTTCTTTAAATAAGTTGTTTTTTTAAAGTGAAAATGAAAAAAATTCACATTTACATTTTTTAGTTACATTTCTGGGATCTTCTACAGTCAAATATCGCGGGTGATTATTAATATATTCTTTTCAGATCTTAAACGAAATACATGTATATTCCAGAGTGCAATATTCAATCGGGCAGCGAAAGAGAAGTCTTCAACTTCAAATCTAAAAATATTATTCTATAGAACTTTTGCATAGCTTTCGGGCATATCTTAAGTATCCTTTGTACTTTATTCGTTTTAACTAGCTGTTAGATAATTTGAAGAACAAATGACGCAGAAGATAATTCTCTACTTAGCCACGCATAGTATGTACTTTAAGCATGACGTCATTAGTTTAACGGCGTCAATTTGCCTTTTGCTGGCGCCATTTTTGTAAATGCTGTCCATTCAAAAAAAGCCCCAAGCACACTTGCGGTCACGACCCGAGCCGATTCTCCAACTCAATTGGGAAAATCTGGGCGAATGACTAAATATGTTCACGTGTATGTGATGTCAACATGTCCATCTTGAACGAACCAACTTTGTCAATGTTGACTCAGTGTTTGATCAATTGATGAACAAATGACGCAGAAGGGAATTCTCTACTCAACCGCAAATATGTACTTTTATCATGACGTCATTAGTCTAAGGGCTTCAATGTCTTAATATGTCCACGCGTATGTGACGACAACATCTCCATCTTAAAACGAACCAACTGTCATTGTTGACTCAGTGTTTGATGATTTGATGAACAAATGACGCAAGAAGAGATTTCTCTGTGCAGTCACAATGAGTATGTACTTCAAGCATGACGTAATTGGTCTAAGGGCTTTCAGCAATAATATATATGGAATGCTTGTGAGGTCATCACCACCATCTTAAAAAATCACCATGTTTTGTCAATGGCTAGTGTTATTGACGGAAGAAAAGATTACCTTATTGCATCGAGGGCTGTTGGTAAGTTTTATTTAGTTTTTGAGCAATGATGAGAACCCTAAGAATCTCGTTTGGTATAAGGATTGACCAGCTTTGTCAATAGGCTGTTGAGGGTACAAAAGATTACCAAGAAGTGCATCGATAGTTGGGCTGTTTTATTCAGTTTTTTTAGGCCCCGGGTTTGATTAGGACCCTCAAAAAATCCTTTGGTAAGGATTGATATCGAAAGGCAATCCCGGCGGCAAGGTGTATAAAAAGGCACCTGAAATAGGGTAATCTAAAAAAATAAAGAAACTTCTGGAGGTCCTTTCCAAACTTGACCATAATTCATATTCTTCCAAAAATAACTATCATGGAGGAAGATCAAATTATTAGCAATTATCATTCCAATAATTTTCAACAATAATTAATGATATTGAATTCGCAACATTGCAGATGATAAAAAATATCGTCTAATAATAATAAAAATAAAATAAATAAATGAATAAATAGCATAAATAAACAATAGGAGTTTGTAGTATTTATTTATAAACTTTGTACATGGGTTTCTYGTTGCACTCTTTTATACATTCTTCAATGCAAAAACATTACAAATCTCGATAGTATTAATAGTTATAATAATAATTCTTATTAATCAATACAACACCGTAATAATGGTTAAAATGAGATGACAGTTCACATTATTTTACTAAAAATATTTCTAATGGAGTTCGAGTCAAGTTGACTGTGTTTGATCGTCTTCCGGGTTTTCTTTTGAGATTTCAATGTAATCTTTATTTGTTTGTTCTTTTATTTCTTCCTTCATTTCCTTTGTCGTTTCTGGTTTTATTTCTATTTCGTCTTTCGTTTCTTCTGTTGTCTCTTCTGTCATCCCTTCCTTTGCGTCTTTTCCCGCGTCTTCTTCCGCTTCTTCCTTTCCTTTTTTTCCTTTTTCTCCTGTTTCCTTATTTACTCCCTCATTCAATTCCGTTGTAACTTCTTCTTTCGTCTCCACTTCTTCTTGGAGCGCTAGCTTTGAATTATTATCAGAATGCTGGGATTTAAGGTCCTTTTCGTTTTCTCCAACTGTTTTGTCCTTAGCAGTCTTTTTAACCTCAGGTGGTATGGGACTGTCGACCACGGATCCTGCTGGTGTTAATTCGTGCGCAGGGGATGGGGGTGGGGCGCTACTTTGCACCGTCTTTGAGCGTTCAACTTCCGCTGTTTTCTGTCTTTCTTCGTCCAGTTGGCGCTGTTTTTCCTGCATTATTGTCCGAAAAAAATGTGAAAATTTTAGCTTATTTGGTAAGAGAAACAAGTTTGAAGTAAGGATCTGTTAAAAAAGGTGCTCGTCAAGGGCGTAGCAAGGTCTCGATCATGGGGGGACAATGTACCATTTTCCCGCCAATACACACGCGCACGCGTTTCATCTTAAAGTTTCCCGCCATATTCTGATAGCGCAGAGGCCACTGGGGCGCGTGGGTAACGTAATTTTTCCAGGGTCAAGAAAAATGTTGCCAAACATTTCTCAAGCAAAAATTAGTCCAGCGTGTTCAAGCTTCCATACCTTTTGTTCCTGCATATCTTGCTTATCTTTCTCCACTGCGTGCATTTCTTGTTGGTGCTCTTGCAAGATTCGCTGCATTTCTTTGGGCCTCGGCGCCTGCAGCTGAGGCGATCGTGATGGTGGAGGGTTTTGAGTATTTTCCTCCGTAGTGCCAAGTATGTTATCGATGTCATCTATTGCAGCCTACGAAATGACAACATATTTCAGGRTGCATGCAGCGTAAAGAAAAACGAGCAACTGCGAGCTCGTCGAGCAAGTCGTTTCTGCGGCGATTTCCACCCCCTTCCCGTCAAACATTTTGAGGTTTTAACATAAAGTAAAACGAAGACAACAGCGAAGAACAAAAGGATTATTTACCTGAAAGTTACTTTCTCCTTGCATGTTTGGAGCGGAGATTTCTTGGTGGATAACGGAGAGGTTACGAGCGAATGTTGATAAAGAACCCTGTAGATCATCGCTCATTACGCTGAAGCACAGCAGTATAGAAGTGGTCAAGTTACAAATCACTGCTTTGTTTTTTCTTTACTTAAATTCAAAACACTGCTCATCCTTACTACCTAATCAAATGGTTATTCTTTGACTGGTTGTCACTCAATTGCAAAATCATTGTCATTGTCCTTGGAAAGTATGTTAATTAGATGTATCTAGTGATACAACTCGAAGAACGTTCATACGTCCTTGCACTGACAGAAATCATGGATGTCTTTTGGTCTCAGCTTCTCTGTTCAATGATTTGAACCCGATTAATACTGATTTTGCAATGGAGTGTATTTTCTGTGTCTTCTTCTCACATGGGTCTTATCTGACTGATCACGTGATTTTGCTTGTCGCTTGCATCGATCAAGACAGTTCATTGTCTGAATGGTCATGTGACTTGCTTGAACGGTCACGTGGCCTAAGACTGATTAAAATAATTTTCACTGTTCCCCATACGAGACTTTTTGACACTAGCTCGTATACGAGTCTATTCAGTCAGGGGTCAAGTCGTCACAATGAAATAAATTTATCTAACTTTTGTACTTACAGCATTCCGAGATGGTCTCTCTTGGAGCTATCCACCAAGGTGAATATTGTTCCTGCCCTTTCCTGTGAACAAAGGTCATCCATYAATACACATTGGGTTCATAGAATCATCGGAGAATCCTCAATCCAAGATTTTATATAAAGCCGAGATTCAAGATATGGATTCTGAACCCCAGTAGACCTCTTCACCTTGGGCGTAATGTTTTTCCATTTCAGACCATGCGTCATTTTCTTGAGAAAAAATTCTTTGTTTGAGTTAGATCTATATAGTAGTATAGAGGATGGGGGTTCCAGCGCAACGACCACCGGAGGATTACCCGTCTAAAGTGAATTCCTCGATTCGTACCGCGATTACCCGCATCCCGTGTCTATGT